ATTACAAAATCAGAACCGTCACAAAGTGCATACGAACAATTTTTTTTAACGTGCTTAGTGTTAAGTGATTGGTGACTTCGTCGAAATACATTGATATGTGTCCTGCAGAGATGCAACACTTTTATTAAACTAATGCAAAAATTACAGCACAACAGACATATAAAATTTCTGTTAAGGCGAAGAGTCAGAATCAGTGTTTTGTATTGTCCGAGCAAAGAAAATTACGTCAGTTGGAGTCTACACGTTTTTCCGCCCGCAATCCACGCTTTCTTCAGAAACGATCGCACTTAGGAATAGGAAACCTTAACAATTTATTAACCGAAGGACTGTTTCTCAACGTGGCGCTGCACCCCGCAACACAACAGTATTGACAGCTATTTTGTGGTTCGTTATTTGATGTTTAATAAACACTGAAATGTCGCATTTACGTATTGAGCTTCCTGCATGTGTCCCATCAAAATGTTATGAAGCCTGTCGAAATAGCGTAGCACCCGTCATTCGCACGTTTCCTATACAAGTATCAGTAGAGAAAACAAGAAATTTTTACTGGTAATGTTGGCTAACAAATTGCGGATACCACGTCAGGTGAACTTACCCAAGCTCTACGAAAGCCATCATGGTTAAATTATTTGGGTAAATAATTTATTCTGTATTATTTACATTGATAATCAGTTATATAATTCACAAGTTTCGCTGGACTAAAGGGTTACTCTTCGTACACGATAATCGGGAGACAGACGTGAGCGTGATTACTACAACTAAGCTTGTTGTGTACACGTTTAAAACGAAATTAGATGAATCTTGTTTGTTTCGGAAGTCCTGAATAATCACCTGACCATTAACGGACATTAGAAATAGTCACTGAAATCTTTTTAATAATATATCCAAAAATACTAGGAAATCAGATATTTCCGTCCATCGTTTTACAACATAGTATCCCACCCTAACACGTTTATCCAAACTAACTTAGGATAGTAGATGAATAAGTGTTGCACTAACTCAAACTAAGATAAAATAATAGCTGTAAAAGCGGTGTGTCTTATTTTCTTCATTTAAAACTTAACTAAATTCGAAAGAAAAATAATGTGAAAATAAATGTGACTACTCAGTTTATCGTAGTATTAACATCGCTTTCATTTGTATATAAAAAGTGCACGCGCTATTATAGGCTGTTCACACGATAAAGTTGAGCTAATAAATACATTTTATTGCAGCCTCATGCATTAAATGTTGATGGTGATGAAATGTATACACTGTGTTTATTGGTCACATTGCAATGTTTATATTAAAAAGCAGCAATAAGATGGAAATTGGATGAAAGGAAAAATTTAGAAGGGCCTTAAAAAGTGTTCACTTTACCGTGAACAGCCTATATCACAGTTCTCGTCAGTTTTCATGCGTTCGTTTCCCCCCTTCGTCATTGAAGAAAAAATAGAATACTCACTTTAAAAATATATACATTTCTCTGTGTCTTTTCTATTTTCTTGTTGCAGCCTATATTTTACACTATGCGCCACAAATATTTAGATATATAACAATAAGCTAGAGTAATAATTATACCTATACTAATACCAAATTTCTGACGGCACGCCAAAACAAACAAATACATACATACACATAATACAGTTTAAAACCGTGATTTTGCGTATAGAAATATTTGCCTTACAGGACATTTTGTAATGGAATTACGCCACGTGTTTTTCTGGTCAAAATTCGGCACTGGTATTTGATTGACCCTTCACCAACAGCTCTTACGTCGTAGAAAACAATTTGCTTGAAATAAAAAATGAAAATTTAAATTATTGGAAAATTTATACTGGTCCTTTCATCTAGGCTATTCCAAATCGTCAATAGCCAGAATATACATTCAAGCCGATGACAGCAATAGTTATTTTCAGAAAAAATTATTAGGTTTTCACAGTACTTGGAGGCATTTTGTATCTTCAAAGTTTTCCGGCTGAGCTTATGTAAAGACAAGAAAATATAAAATATAACCACCAGTTATGAAAATCATAATGAATTTTATGCAAAGTTTACTTCCTTTCATACATTTAACATCAACCGTTCAATTTATAAAAGAATAATTCTAGATCCTCAATACTGGTTAATGTAAATGTTTATATTTTAGCTGTCTTTGAAACTTGATTTTCGTTTGCCCTTTATATATTAGAATAATAATCGATAAAATGTTCATATTTTGTTTCTATCAGTTTAAAATGATGCGTTTACCACCGCATGAATATTATTAGCGTGGTTTCAGGACCGCAGAGTTTCTATATGTGCAGTATACATTAGGTATGAACACAGAACAAAGCAAGGATTTGAAAACCGCTATTGAAACACACATCGATGTTATCATTTATTATTTTGCCCGTGTATCAGATATTAGATATAAAGTATCAGGTCGAATATATTCAGAATACTGAAATTGTTTACAGATGATTTGAGCGGCCCGATTGTTGTGTTGGTTATGCAGAAAAGCACCTCTGTAGTACACAAACTATCGGTTATAAAAAAATGCTTTCGCCTTCATGTACGTACATTATATTATTATTTTTTTTATTTATCTTCCATTTCTCATATTTAGAATAAGATTTCAAACAACAGAGTTAATTTTTATCTCGTATGTAATGACTTTGACAGTTTTTAATTATTGTTATTCCAACAACACAATATTTTGTAACATACAGCTCCTCTATTTTTTTCACTTGTATGTGATATCTTAGAAGATGATCACCAAATTAATTTTTTCAAATAAATGAAAATATTTCATATTATTAATATTTGATTTACTTCATATATCAGGCTCTTTCCTATTAGTTGGTTGAAATTACTTTCGAATGTATAGTAAAATAACTAAAATTCTTGATCTAATCATATAAGTGTATTGTTTTTACAATGTTAACACTGATAAAAGTTATATTTAAAAAAAAAAATATGTTAATTGTAGATAATTCTACGTTTATTTAAAAAGGATTTTGTTTGTCTAAGTTTATGCAAACACTAATTAGTATATGAATCTTAACTTAGAACTCTTAGTGTTGCAGTTCTTATATATATTATATGTTTGTGAAAAATGTTTAGTTAAACCTTGGTTAAGAGTCTTCATTTTATTTCTATTAAATTAAAAAAAGTGTTTAAAGTACAATTACTGTAATTATATTAATTTTATTTGACTTATTGACCACTAATTTTGGTTACGGATTTATTCCTTTCAAACTCTTTTCCAATTCAATTAACGAAACATTTCCCTAACATATTAATAATTAAGTTACATAATTTTCATCTTAACTAAAATGCATTGAATAATTGACAACCCTGTTGTTCAATAAACCTCTTGATCCAAAAATCTCAACTTTTTCATAATTATCTGTTATATTAGGCAGTGTTTTTTATTTCAGTATAGGCTATTCACGGTAGAATGAGCACTTTTTAAAGCTCTCTAATTTGTAATTTTAATCAGAAAATGTATTATATATTAGCCTTAGACGTTAACTGCCGAGTGCGATGGAATATACACAGTATTTATTACTTACAAGGAAATATTTATTTTAAAAGTTGGTAAAAGGATAACAAATGTCTGAAATAAAAAAGTGACTAGGGCTTCAAAAGAACTCACTTTACCGTTAACAGCATCTACCTATAATATATCTTACCAGATAATTATATTCTGTACTATTTTCTCTTACTTGTTTAGCTACTCATAATTATTATCGCTATCACAATATTGTTTTTATCACGTTTAAATTCGTATAATTTATTAGAATAATAGTTAAAACTAAGTTTCTTTAAATAACCTTTTCTTAGTATTAAATAATTATTGAAGCCAAATATTTTGCCCATATGTGTGTGTGTGTGTGTGTGTGTGTGTGTGTGTGTGTGTGTATATATATATATATATATATATATATATATATATATATATATATATATATATATATATATATACACGTAAAAGCTCTACATACACATACTGTTTTACGCGATTGTTGTACATTTCCATGAATCTCTCTGACAATGGCATCGCAGGGATATATGACCAACACACGTCCTTTTGTGAAAACAAACAAAGTGACATGTATAACAACAGATATTATCTGACGCTGCAAAAAATTCATTAATTTTCATAAACATTGACATTATGTATTTTGAATCAGCTTGAAACCTGTCGGCGCTGTTTGTGGACTCAGTAACCTCAGATACAGCGCCGACGCCATCAGCGATATTGTTTGTGGGGTTCGTGAGGGTTTCCGCCCAGAGAATCAACATTTGTGTTCGTACTGCGTGCACCGCGTCTGCAGGTTATTATCGACCTTCCATCATGTGATCCGTTAGCTGATGAATACTGCAACTCGTTCATCGGTTACAAACGTATGCATGAAGTACGCGAATATTTGGTTAAGTTCATTCTTTTAATTTACAAAAGAAATTCCACCACTTTACGACCATGAATTCCCACACAGCCACATTTTATTCATAGGTAGGTCGTCCTAATTTTTGCTTTTTAATCATTTGTCTGTTTATCTCAGTGCTTCGAAAGCAATGACTGGAGACGACGTACACTATGAATAAACTACTAGATCAGAGTATCAACCACGCAGAGCAAGGTATGCCAAGAGTGAACACCGTCTTTTTAACCAATGAAACACTAAAAAGAGGCTTCGAAGGCAGACGATATCGCAATAACAAATTTGCAAATTACGTGTTTGCTACATCGACAGACACTTTTTTTTCTGGTGTCTAGGCTAGGAAGCGTAGTAGTCGGTTGTTTTGTTTCCCTCGTTGCCGGCTTGAAGGGTTGATGTCGTGCTAGCATGTTTTATGAAACTGAAAACAAAAACATATATCGGAGGCGAACGGTTTCGAACGAGCCACCTTTCAGCTGTAAAGACGCACATTGCCAACTATTTTCTAAATACATCTCTATATTTACCGCCACATCAGCCATTGACACTATTCCATATAGAGCGACCAGTATAATAGTGCACAGAAGTGACAACCGCGCCCTGCCCAGGACTCGAACCCGGAATCTCTCGCTCTGCAAGCATGTGTGAAGCCACCTACGCTACAGACGCCAGCTCGCTACAGCAATAAAGCCTTGCAGTTCATGTGACTTCTAATACAGTATGTAAACTGTTTATTACACTCAAAATTAGAATAATTAGAAAACCACTGATTCGCAGTGAAATTCAGCTACTCTAATTAGTGAAAATGGCTCCACTTATAATCATTGGAAAACCACTGATTATTTCAGTAAAAAAATTTTTCTTATTTAATTAGTGACGTGAAACAATTTCAGTGATTGAATAAGTGACGGCCAACTGCAGCGGCGGATTAAATATTGATTTTATTGAATGTAGTAAATAATTACGTCGAATAAACATGTTTACGGTAGTTTACTATATATATTGTGTAATTTATGGGATTGAACTCGCGCACCCTTCGACTATAGGCCATTGCCTTGCCAGCTAAGTTACCATGCCAAGTTAAAATGGCGAGAGGAATATATATCGTGTAGTTTGAAATTGTATGTTCATACATTTCGTGTTTGGTTTGATTGGTACCGTTATAATCATTAAAACGAATAGTATATATGATTGCACTCTCTTCGTCTCATTAAATGCAGTTTAAACCTTAAACAGAGCGTTGTGACGATTACATGGAATCGAAATGAAAGACGTTAAAACGGAATGAAAGGCTGTGTGTACATGTTACCTCGTAAAATGGCGTTTTGAAAGACGAAACACATTTTAGAAAGTATTTTATATTACTTTTATTGGTTTATTCGTTGTTACTTCACTTGATACACATAGTTTAACGGCCATTTTAAAACGTTGTTCGACGAACATTTTTACACGTAGTTTCACTGATACACGAGTCAAAAATAATTAGAGATAGAGCAAGTTGCCCAGATGTTTCACTGGTCCATTAGTCAAAAAATAAACCACTAAGAAAACAGTGGGAAAAATGATTGACGAATCAGTGGGAAATGTCACTGAATGAATCAGTGAAGGAAATATGGCATTCTTTCACTGGTTCATCAGTTACATTCACTGAAGTGACTGTTATATCAGTCAGATACGTTTGACTGATTGAAACAGTGAAATTCTCACTGATTCAGATGTAGAGTGTACCTCACACACTTTCAACTATCGCATTGAAACATTTGCACACTACTTTCTGCACAGAAATTAACAAACTCACAATTATTTGCAGAAAAATAATGTATGCGGAATTTACCAATTCATATATAAAAATCCTACTAATGTTTATCAAACAACAAAAAGGGATGTAAAAAAACACTAGCCGGCCATTTATTCCAGTAGCTTACCATCATGGCCTAAAACTAAATTTGTTTTTTGTTAAAATTTGAAATTAATATTAGTTTATATTATTTAAAGTGATACACATATATAATGTACTTGTGTGTATCGTTTAATATATACAGCGGACAACAATTACCTTTATGCAACTCATTTTTTCTGTTCATTACGTTGTCAGTTAACGTTGCCTCCGAAATTAGCTATTCCGTTCAGCCCTATTCGGTGTCTACCTCTTAACCATGGCAAATAAATGTTGACATTAATTTTAGCCTGCAAGATATCGCGCTTAGTTGAGATTGTGAGGGAAAGTGTATTGCTACACTGTTAGAAACAAGTCCGTATAGTTACGGAAAGTACTGGTTACAAATTACCCAGACATCTGGATTAATATAAGGACTCTTGTTTTTTTTTATAACGTTCTCTCCGTAAATTTCACTTAAATCTCTGTAAATTCAAGGAAAGTTTCCATAGACGTCCAAGTTTGTTTTTTAAAATCTGCTCTTAATAAAAATGAGGTACTAAAAAATGTTTTTCGTTCCTTATGTGGAAGTTTCACTGTGTACAGAAATTACTATAAAAAGTTCTAGAAAATCTTGTTCGGCCGCAAGATTTGAACTCGAAGAAAACATTTGATTGTCCAACACATTATCCAGTCATCTAACATGCTTTTACACGAAGAACTGTTGTAAACATGGTACTATGATAGAATGATGGATATACACACCTCAGTTTCTAGTCATGTTAAGAGTGTTCGCGAGTTTGTTTTTTGTTTCAGGTTTACTAACAGGGGTAAGAAAAAGAGTTATATTTTCGTAATGCATTTCATTATGAATAACAGAGAATACACAAATTATTTCGTAAATATTGATTTTCACGAAAGTAAAAAACGCGCCTCTCTTAGTTCCAAGTCGATGGGGCCCTTGCTGTTTTGTATTATTTGCGATTTATAAAACCGGGTTACGAAAAAAAATTTGTATTTTCGTTATGTGCGTGTTTCACTTTCTATACAGAATGTTGTGTCCTGTAGAGGAATTTGAACAAGAATCAACGAATTGGCATTCCATGAATGATTCGCTACTCACCTACTATTATTTTACACGAAGTAGTATTGTGAAGATTGGATTGTATACGCTTCAGGTATCATCGACTTTGTTCGTATTCTTGAAAGCGAAGCCATAAACATACGGAGAGCTTCCGTATTTTATATTTACGGAGCTCATTTCCGTTATTCGTCATTACGGAGTGCCTTTCCATAAATAAACTTTACAACTCCGTAAAAGTTTCCGTCAATATACAGAAATTTCTAACAGTGTAGAAGAAGGTAAATTCTCTGAAATATTCTGGACTCATATACTCGACGAAGAACTGTCACACAAAATGTGCTCCCACCTATGCGTAATTACGCAAGTAAATTAATGTTAAGCATACGCATTTTTGTACATTAGGTAATTTTTTTCGAATATAAGTAGAATTATTATGTAGAATGTTCTGCTACAACGGGACCTGGGGCAGAAGTGTAGGAGCCGACCAACCACCATGATGTGACGTCACGCGTCCGCAATCTTGGAACCATGTGACCTTGACCTTTAACGATTTACCGTTGTCCCCACAAAATAAAAAAATAGAAAAATAAAAAATTCTAAAAATTTAATATAAAAAATTATTTAAACACCATAAAAATTATTTAATATTTGTTAAAGTTATTTAAAAATTGCAGGTGAAGATTTTCCCTAACAATTTACATTTTCGATAAAAAAAACCCATTTTTCCCTACAATATCCCTCCTTTCCCTTAAAAGTTTCAGTTTTTCCCTTAAAATTTCCCTTTTTCTCTTAAAGTCAACGAGCATATTATGTTACTGACTACTACCAACATATTGGCTGCAGGTGAGCTTGACCCCGTGACCTTGAAAGACCTTGAAAAAACTCGAGAAAATTTTATAAATGTCAATGAGTATACCATGTAGCTGACTACTACCACCATATTGGGTGCAGGTAACCTTTACCTTTACCCAGTGACTTTGGATGACCTTGAAAACAAAATCACAAAAAAAAAAAATTCATAAAAGTCAACAAGCATATTATGTGCCATATTGGGTGCAGGTAAAGTTGACCACATTACCTTGAATGACCATGAAAACCCGAACTCTAGAAAAAATTGATAAAAGAGTCAGTAACCATACTATGTTACTGACTACTGCCGTCATATTGGATGCAGGGGACCTTGACCTCGAACTTGTGAACTCGAGTGACCTTGAAGACAAAAACTGGAGAAAAAATAGTAAAAGTCAGTAAGAAGATTACGTTACTGACTACTACCGCCATGTTGGATGTAGGTGACATCGACATTGACCTTGAAAACAAAAAACTCAATAAAAATGGAATAAATTCATAAAAGTCAGCAAACATAGTACAAAACTGAGTACTACCACCATCTCGGATTTTTTCGCCTGTTATTTATTTATACATAATTGGAGGTTGCCATCTTGGATTTAATATGTTTTCATCACTTAGATGGCACTAGTATATTAATTTACCCGCCAGGCTGCAGTCATATTTTTTTTAAATGTCTTTTTTATTAAGTATAGTTTGCGCTGTCGGCACCATACATTTTGGATTCTATTTTCAACACATAGGTGGCGTTAATTTCTTTTTCGTAACCAAGCAAGCTGTCGGCACTCATATTTTCAGACATTAAAAAACCTATAACTTTGCAATCCTATTTTAAAAAAATACAGTTTCAAATAGCAGTAAACCTATATGCATAATTAATTGAATACATATATTTTTCAACAAACTTTAAGACCAATAGAAGGATACGACACACAAAAATAAATAAAAAACTATTATTTTATGATAATTTATTATCCTGCAATTAAAATTTCAGAAGAAAGCAGTTCATCACATCATTTGATGTAGCTTCCTTCCTTCAGTTTACAACTGATTGAATATATCTCAACAATTCGCAAGTCATACCCACTTTTGTGAAGGTCAATAAAATATTTGAGTCTTTCAACAAGTTCATTCGGTTCTTCGGGGAATATGTAGTCAGTATTCTCACCATATTCTGCCTTCTTTGCATCACTTGTCGAAGGAAATTCGTCGGTGAGAACTGTGGGAACATCGAGGGAATCATATTCGTCGTCACTATCAACACTGTCACTATAGCCATTTTCATTTATGCTGCCTACATTATCGCCTTCGCTTCTTGTTTCATCATCAATGTCAAGTTTACTTTTCTTTGTAGGAGGTGTATGTTCGTCATAAGTATTTATAGCCGACGACTGTTCATTTTGAAGTTCGTCGACTTCACGCGCACGCTTTGAAAGTGTACATTCCACACACACACACACACACACACACACGCCGACTCAATCATTCCGTCTTTAGCATTAACTGTCTCGTCATAATCGTCTGCGAAAACAATACCCATCGATGTAGTAGGAGCTATTGGCGACATCACTTGCTGGCCTTTCAGATATCGATGTATTCCTTCAGTGTATCACCCTGCATAAACGGCATGTGGCCATTGTCGTAATACTTCATCGCGTGAAAAGGACTTTTCGTACAGGCCGTTCTCTCATGCCGCCGAGCATGGCAGCTTTCGCTGAAGATCTATTCAGAGAAGAGACACTGATGATGACGTAGTGGTTCAAGCAAAGTCTCGGACAGACCTGATGGAGAGGTAGTTGCAAGAGCTAAATAAGCAGGTAACGTCGGCAATGGTGTTCTAGGTACCTCAGCCGAAAAGTT